AAAATTAAAGGAGAACAATTCAAACTTCAAGCCTTTGCAGATGATCTTGTATTTATTCTAGAAGATCCAACAACAACTATACTGCATCTATTAAACCTTATACAAAACTACGGCAACATAGCAGGACTTTTAAGAAAACTAAGATCTTGGCTAAAAACTGTACTAAAGAGGAGATAAACAAAATATAACTAATTTCAAACATTGAGGTAACAAACAAAGTTAAATACCTAGGTATCACAATTTCAAATAAGAACATTAACTTATATGATAATAATTACAAGATGTTATTGGAAGAAATCAAAAAAGATCTACATAAATGGCATGACCTTCACATATCATTTATGGGCAGAATTGCCACTGTAAAAATGAATATGCTACCAAGAGTCCTGTTCTTAGCGCAATGTATACCAATACTAAAAAACAATAAATTCTTTGAAGAAATTGAGAAAGTTGTAAGAAAATTTATATGGCAATCCAAGAGGCCACGCGTAAAAATGAAATTACTTTGTGATAAGAAAGATAGAGGGGGACTTGGACTACCAAATTGGTATTTGTACTATCAAGCTGCCGCCATGGGATGGATTCGAGAGTGGATACTGTTAGAAGATAAAAGAACTCTACAACTGGAAGGTCATGACCTGTGCATGGGCTGGCATGTCTATGTATGGTATGACAAGGATAAAATACATCAAAATTTTCATAACCATATAATTAGGGGAACATTAATCAAGATATGGAAAAAAACTGAAAGGAAGGTTCTACAGTAAAATACTGTTGTGGGTCTCACCACTGGAGGCCTTTATAATGCCAAATTTATTAACAGTAACGTATGAAAGGTTGTTTACAAAAAATAATGATTTACAATCATTTGAGATGCTAGAACTTATTGAATATTAATCTTACAAGTTAGGAAAAATTACAGCTACAATCAAGATACACACAAGACAAAAAAAATAGCTTTTATGACATCAAAACTGAATTTAGATAAAATTTGGCTATCATCCTCGGATAAACTTATTCAAAAACTATATAACTTTTTACTATGAGATGATATGCAAGACGAAACAGTAAAACCGAATATGGTAACTTGGATGCAGGATATAGGACATACTCTAGAATGGGATAAAACATGGAAATCTATTAAACTATTAAGATCCACGTCATACAAAGAAAATATATTTAAAATGTTTTACAGGTGGTATTAGACGCCTGACAAACTAGCGAAATGTTGCAAAAATGTATCAGGAGATTGTTGGAGGTGCAAAAACAATGTAGGAACATTTTACCACATATGGTGGCGGTGTGAAAAAATTGCTAAATTTTGGAAAAGTATAAAACAATTAATATTAGAGATAACTGAGATAGACCTACAACTTGCAGCAGAATCTTACCTACTTAACATATTGCCAGATGGAATTAAACGTGATGATCTATGTATTATATTATATATACTTACTCTGTCAAGAATTCTTGTTGCAAATACCCAGTAGAGAAGAGTTAATTATAAAAATTTGTGAATTAATGGAAATGGATAAATTAAATATGATACTATCAGGGAAAGAAGATGTGCTTCAAAAAAGATGGCATAAAGTTAACAAACGGATTGGAAGAAATGCTTAGTTTAAACTCCAAAACTGTTGTCTTATGTACTCTTATGAAAACTGATAAATAAAACTTATATATTAAAAAAAGCTCACAAGGTTTTCCAAGGCAAGCCTCCTTCAGTCAGCTCATGATGATATTTTGCCTGATCCAGCAACACACTTTTTAAAATGATGGTGAGCTTGTTGCAGCAAATGCAAAACAGATGCAAGTCTGGCAGTTGGGGGGGGGTGATTTCAGTGACAGAAGAATCTTTTTAAAGACTGCACTAGAAGCTCTGTTCTGATCTTTGCATATAAAGGGACAGCTAAGTAACAAGAAAAGACTCTCCACCACATCCCCATCGCAGATGCACAGGTTCTGTGCAGACTTTCCTCGGCCTGGTTTCCCCTAAGCAACCTGGGAAATGTAGTTTGATAAGGCCCTAAGAAATTGTAGCCCCTCCTCGCTGAAATACAATTTCCCTGGAGGTGTTTTATTATTTTGTTTCAGGTGGTGGCAGACAAATAACATTTCCAGAAATTATGAAGAAGCCATGGGGTGGGGGGAAACCTGAAGTGCTGGAAATAATTGAAATACATGCAATACTTCCTTATCAAACCTGAATTTATTTTACTACTTTAATAGCATGAAACTTAATTTGGATATAGCACTTAGGCTGCGATCACACGCACCAGTAGATCTGACATATGCATGAATGCCTGACCGATCTAAAGGGCGCGATCAGACAGCAACATCTGGGAAGCGTCCCGCAGTCATCAGCAACCTGTGCTGCTCCGCCACAGAAGTGGAGTTAAAAGACACCGGAGAAAGTCCGGTAGTAAACGGGTTGCGATGGGCCACGGACGGCCTTTCCCCTGTCTGATTGCGCAAGCACGCATGCATGCCGTTGGGATGGTCTGATAGGCCATCCCAGCTCGGTGCTGTTCCCCCCCCTCTTCACAGTATGCACATCATCACACACTCCATAGGGGGGCCTCAGTGCAGAGGTGCGATGCCTCGTTTATGCGCATGGGAAACAAACGGCCAAAAAAGACCCCTCACCCGCCGTTGCATTTGATCACACAGTGACGGACTGAGCCCGCAGCTACAAAGAGCTGTGTGATCTCATAACCGTGGGTCAAATTCCTCTGGAGGGAATAGCCTCGCTTCCCCTCTGCTCCAACTGGCATGTGTGACCACAGCCTTAGAGACCAACAAGATGTTCAAGTTATACCCCAAAATCTGACTGGTCTCTACGTTGGTCTCAAATCTAAATGTTAATCTTAGATTCCACCCACAACAACAACAACAACAACAAAGTCCTATAGCAAACGTTTTTGTGAGCTAGAGCCAGGTTCATCAGACGCCCATTACTCTTGTTTACCAATTCTTGCCCTGCCCCGCGATGAACTTCGTTTGTTTCATTTTAACAATAAAAAGGAAGCAAATGATAAAATGAAACATGGTTCTCCTTCTCGGTCTTTGTCCTTCCACCTGTTGTTTCCCACATGATAACAACAGCAAACGTTCTTGTAAAAAGCACACAGGTTACCCCAAGTCCCGTTTTGCCAGCAACGTACCCCCACGCCTGCTTACCTGCCATTTTGCTTGGGGGGGAAGAGCTGGGCTGCGCATGGTGAGGGGAACTGTGCGAAAGCAAAAGGCTCATGCTGTGAGGCTGACCCGTACTGTAGGCGTCCATCGCCAGCTTCTGGCGAAACGCCTCTTCTTTCCTCCGGTTCGCAAACCAGTTATAGACGCGGACTTCCGTCACCAGATTTGAACCCAGTCCATGAGCTTTAGAAGGGGACACGCCCCGTTGGAGACATTCTGCCCTAGGGGAGAAGAATTAAGAAGAACGGACTTGTGATAAATGCATGGAACTATTATGAGACTAGGCCTGTTTTGGCACTCACGCGGCCAGCCTTCAGGTAGGGCAGAGCTGCCACCGTCCAGTTGGCCCCTGGAGGGAACTGAAAACAGACCAGCCAGTATCATCATGCCCCAGTATCAATCGATGGTGCGACCTCATTTGGAGTACTGTGTGCAGTTCTGGTCACCACACCTCAGAAAGGATATTATAGCATTGGAAAAAGTGCAGAAAAGGGCAGCTAGAACTATAAAAGAATTGGAACACTTTCCCTATGAAGAAAGGTTAAAGCGCTTGGAGAAACGACAGCTGAGGGGTGACATGATCGAGGTTTACAAGATTATGCATGGGATAGAGCTGGTAGAGAAAGAGGTACTTTTCTCCCTTTCTCACAATACAAGAACTCCTTGTGGGCACTCCATGAAATTGCGGAGCAGTCGGGTTAGAACAGATAAAAGGAAGTCCTTCTTCACCCAAAGAGTGATTAACACATGGAATTCACTGCCACAGGAGGTGGCGGCGGCTACAAGCATGGACAGCTTCAAGAGGGAATTGGATCAACATATGGAGCAGAGGTCCATCAGTGGCTACTAGTCACAAGGTATAGATAGGAACTCTCAGTCTGGAGCAAGTATTCTTGGTGCTTCGGGGAGGGGGGGTCACAGTGGGAGGGCTTCTAGTGTCCTGGCCCCACTGCTGGACCTCCTGATGGCACCTGTGACAGAGTGTTGGACTGGATGGGCCATTGGCCTGATTCAACATTGGCTTCTCTTAGGTTCTTACGAGGTCTCCTGCTTTTACAATTCATCTCCAGATAACCAAGATCAGATTCCCTAGAGCAAATGGCTGTTTTGGAGGGTGGACTCTGCAGCATTATTATCCTGCTTTAAGACTCCTTTGGGTAGAGAAAAGCAGGGTATGAAAACCAACTCTTCTTTTCGTCTGATTGGCCCAAGGTTACCCAGCAAGCTCTCATGGCAGAGTGGAGGTCCAAACCAGGCCCTGGTCTAGCTCCATCTTTTTGATCAGGGCAGCCAGAATTGTAGTTTTTCACATGCCCCCCCCCCCCGAGATTTGTGGTTGCAATTTTATTTTTGCTTTCAGCTGGGGATGTTTTAACTATTACTGTAAGCTGCCTTGACCCAAGAGGAAAAGGTGGGATATTTTTTTTTAAAAAAATAAGTAATATAAATAAATAATAAATAAATGCACCCACACCATAGATCTATACAAGGGCATTATTTATTAAACTGTCTGGTTTCTCTCCAGACCCTTTCCTTCCACAGGCGCACTGGTCAGTACAGATGCTGTAAGGACCAGGCAGTAGAATGTGGATTCCTTCCAACCTCAGGCTGATGCACCATGTAGGGAACCTTCCAAGTCTCATTCCACAGCAGAGGTCTGATGCAGGGGAGTCTAACAGGCCAAAATACGTGGATGCTGGGTTGCATGCTTGATCAACTGGTAGGTTTCCTCTGTTGTTTACTTATGCTAGATTTTTAGAATAGCAGGTTCTTTCCTTCTGACAGAACATGCCAAACATTTTTACACAATGGGCATTTGGTACTAACAAAGCCTCTGCCTTCTGCCAACAAGCTGATGGTTAATCAGGCACCCGTGGCCGGAAGTTCTGCATTTTGCTCAGAAAATGGCTCGCTTTGGTTTTTCGGGATGACTGTTCCTTTACCTGTTGCACTCTTCCACCAAAGCTTCCCTCTCTTCCTTGCTGGGGTTCTTTTGCCGTTCATAGGCTTGGTACAATATCTGTTGGGAGGCAGGGCCCCATTTGAAGCGGTTCCGACGCATCTTCTTACTGGGCGTTTCGGCGCAGGGGTCATCTATCTGGCCCACGCCCTGGCTTTGCTGGTTGAACTCTGGAAAGAGAAACAGCAGCTGATCTTGACTGGTTTTGTCTGTCATATTTCCAGAACCCTGGACTGTCTGGTTGAATTCTGAAAGAGAAAGGAGCAGATTTTGATCGGGCCTGTAGCCCCTGCCAAAGAGAAAGACATCTTCATGCACAGATTACTTTGATCTCTATCGTACCATCTTGATTACCTGGACTGACCTGAGAGCCGGTTTGGTGTAGTGGTTAGGAGTGCAGACTCTAATCTGGGAGAACTGGGTTTGATCCCCACTCCTCCATGTGCAGCTGCTGGTGTGACTTTGGGTCAGTCACAAGTTCTTTCAGAGCTGTTCTCTCAAGGGCAGTCCTTGAAAGAGCTCTCTCAGCCCCGCCTACCTCACAGGGTGTCTGTTGTGGGGAGGGGAAGGGAAAGGAAAGGAGTTTGTAAGCTGCTCTGGGACTCCTTTGGGTAGTGAAGGGTGGGGTATAAATCCAATCCCTTCTTCTTCTTCTTTCCTATCATGTAGCCAGGGTTGTGCGCGTGGCTGTCCCAAGCACAGAAGCAAACTACATACACCTGGGCTAATAATAGGGTTGCTAGGTCTGGGTTGGGAAATACTTGGTGACTTTGGGGGTAGATCCGGGAGAGGGCGGGGTTTGGGGAGGGGAGGGGCCTCAGTCATAGAGTACAATGCCATGGAGTCCACCATGCAAAACAGCCATTTTCTCCAGGGGGGCTGATCTCTGTCAGCTGGAGATCAGCTGTAAAAGTGGGAGATCCCCAGGCCCCACCTGGAGGCTGGCAACCCCAGCTACTAAAACTCTAGCTGGGGGCCTATCTATATATAGGAGACAGGAGGTATACAAAGTCAGTTTAAACAGCTCGCTGGCTGGAGGAGATCCTGGCAATGTGTACCTTCTTGACTTCCACAGCCTGTCTGAACACAGACATGGCTGTACTGTAAAAGCAATTAAGTAGGGTTGCCAAACTCCAGGTGGTAGCTGGAGATCTCCTGCTCTTACAGTGGATCTCCCAGCAATAGACACCAGTCCCCCCTGGAGAAAATGGACGGTTTGGCAGGTGGACTCTATGGCATTCTACCCCACTGAAGCCCCTCCCCTCCCCAAAGCCCAACCTCCTTAGACTCCACCCCAAAGATCTCCAGTATTTCCCAGTCTGGAGCTGGCAACCCTACAATGAAGTAAAGAAGCAGACATTAAAAACTGTCAAGGAGGAAATAGACGGTCACAGCATGGCTGCCCACTCTGGGTTGGGAAATCCCCGGGGACTCTGGGGATGCAGCCTCAGGAGGGCAGGCCATCACGCGACACAGTCTGCTCCCCAAAGCAGCCATTTTGGAAACGGGAGCTGATCTCCGTCGTGTGGCGATCAGTTGCAATTCCAGGAGATCTCCAGGCCCCACCTGGAGTTTCGAGAAATTCTTCTTCAGGCAAATTATTTATCCTGGAACCAAAGCTGACAAATGCTACAGTGCACAAGCCAGGAGATTCTCTGCGTGGCTTCACCGGTTGGGATTCTGGGAACCTTCACAAAACTACAGTTCCCGGGGTTCCTAAGAGGGCCACAAGATTGCAAAAGAGCCTTGCGTAAGATATTGCTGAGCCACCACCAGCCAGAGCAAAAGATACGGAGAGGCAGAACAATGATGCAGGATACGGCAATTTCGAATATCAATGATAAGATTGTGTGTCTGTCACATTTTTAGCCCATCTTCCTCCAAGGAGCTTTTGGGTAACATCTGTGGCTCTTCCTTCCTCCCTGTGAGAAACAAAGCTCGAAGTCACCCAGTGAAAATTATGGCTGAGTGGAGATTCGAACCTGGGTCTTCCTAGTCCTAGTCTGAAAATCTAACAGTTGCATTACAGCAGCTTTACTTAAGAACATAAGAGAAGCCATGCTGGATCAGGCCAATGGCCCATGCAGTCTGCCACTCTGTGTCACACAGTGGCCAAAACCCAGGGTCCTTCAGGAGGTCCACCAGTGGGGCCAGAGCTGCAGAAGCCCTCCCACTGTGGCCCCCCAAGCACCACGAAGGCAGAGCATCACTTGTACCCTGCTGCCAAAACCCTAAACCTGGTGGTGTGTGCAGCCAGCTCTAGATATCAGCAGGCATAATATATAGGTAGGTGGAGCTTTTCATGGCATGGAAGGAAACATCTGTTGTTAATAACATCCTATTGAGCCTCTCTTACAAGGACAGGACATTTTCCCTATAGGCTGTCAACAACTCTATCACAGGTCTGTATCTGCTGTAGTTTATCTATGTAGCCTTGATCGGTGGTCAGAGTGCCACATGACCCTTTACACATGTGCAAGAAATTATGCTCACATATATTTCCAATCCTTGTATTCCACCAAGTAGCATACTCAGGGCAGAGCACATAGGATTTATCACCCTTTATCCGCATAACAATCCAGTAAGGTAGGCTACACTCAGGGTAATTGGCCCACCATGTTGCAGCGAGCTATGTGACAGAGTGAGGATCTGAACTCAGTACACGCTCAAGGCAACACCACGTTTGCAGTAGTCCCTTGCAAACAGAGATTACCATTTCTGAAATGCAACTCTCCCACTACCAGACGGCTTTTGAAAATGGTCCCTTTCACACATGCACCCCGCTGCATGGGAACTGCTCCAGTAAAGAGGCATCCTAGTTAGTTTGAAGGGAAGGGAAGTCATTTGAGGTCTGGTGCTGTGTAGTGGCTAAGAGAAAAAACTGTTTGGGGACACCCATTCAGTTCTCGGCCACGAACTCACTAGGTAAACCTCTCTCTCTTTTTCCAGACTCCTTGTCTGCAATATGAGAATAATGGCAGCCTACCCTACAGGGCTGTTGTAAAGCTTACTACACAGTAACATAAGTGAAACAATCTGAGCACGGGAAGAGCTATTTAAATGCTAGATATTGCCACTGGTGGTAGTAGAAAGTGCTATCAAGTCACAGCTGATTTATGGTGACCCAGTAGGGTTTTTGTGGCAAGATAATGCTAGGATGGCCAGCGACTGGCAGGGGGTGGGGGAGGCAGGGTTGCCAGATCCAGGTTGGGGAACTCCTGGAGATTTGGGGGAGGAGCCTGGGGAGGACTGGGACCTCGGTGGGGTATAATGCCACTGAGTCCACCCTCCAGAACATCCATTTTCTCCGGGGGAACTGATCTCTATAGTCTGGAGATGAGGTATAATTCCAGGGTCCCCCCTGGAGACTGGCATCCCTAAGATATGTTCAGAAGAAGAAGAAGAGAAGAGGTTGGATTTATACCCTGTGCCCTTCACTTGGAGTCTCAGAGTGGCTTCCAAACTCCTTTCCCTTCCCCTCCCCACCATAGACACCCTGTGAGGGAGGTGATGGCTGAGAGAGCTCTCCTGAGAAGTGTCCTTGAGAGAACAGCTGTGCCAGAACTATGGCTTGCCCAAGGTCATCCAACAGCTGCAAGTGGAAGAGTGGGAATCAAACCTGGTTCTCCCAGATTAGAGTCCGCGCACTTAACCACTACGCCAAACTGGCTCTGGTTTGCCATTGCCTGACTCTGGGTAGTGACACTGCACTTCACTGGTGGTCTTCCATGGCGTCTCTGTCTCCAGGGCAGCCCAATCCTCAGGAATGTTAAACACCCTCCTCCTTTCCTTCACTGCAGGTTTACCAACCTCCAAGAGGGGCCTGGAGACCTCCCAGAATTACAATTGATCTCCAGGCGACAAGAGATCAAAATTCCTTGATGACACAGCATCTTTGGAGTGTGAACTCTATGGTATACCATAGAATCGAGGGGAAATGTAAGTCCCGCCTCAGGCACTATTCCCAAATCTCTAGGAATGTCCCAAGCCAGAGATGGCCACCCTGCCTCAGCAGCCTGTATGTTTTGGGCTGCCTATCACATTTCATGTGCCTCTTTCTACTTTCTACTCATCTGATTTGCTAGTCTAACTTTTTGATAGGCCTCCCTCTGCCCCCCCCCCCCCACGGACTTTTGGAGGCAGAGCATGGGGCAAAAGTGTCCAGGTGAACTGGATGTCCCCCGAAATTTTATGGGGTAATTCTAGAGTGTCCTCTGATGTGCTGATATCATGCCCGGGATTCCCCCCAGAAGTGGCTGTGTGCCAGGCTGTGTGATGCCATCTCTACCACCCACGGTTCTCCCCCCAGCAGAAGCACAAGGGCATGTGGGAGGCCCCATCTGTCACATGGTTGCCCACAAGATGTGGGCAAATGGTCAGCCTGTCTAGTGTCCTTCTTTTTGCATTGTCTTTTATTTGGTTATCCTTTGTAAGCTGCCTGGAAAGCTCTCCTGGAGTAGAAAAGGCAGGGTAGAAATTTGTGGGGCTAAAGATCATCACTGTATCTTGAGACAGAGGATTCCACTAATTTAGGTGGTTTTTAAAGGACAGCCACCCTGGTAGCACTGTACCTCAGAATGAGCAATAACAGGTACATTTCTGTAGTGCTTTGTATGTGGGGAATTTCGCCCCTGCATGTGAATGCTGGTAGAGTTTTCTGGAGGAGTATTGTTCTGTAGAGGATTGTGCCATGTGATGCCAAAGAAGAATGATCAATTTTGTGATGATACAGAATGAGCAATAACAGGGGGGAGGGGGTACTGGCCTGCGTGTCTTGCTTATTGTATTTACTGCATGCAGTAAATAATGTATAATACTATTTATTCTTATAAAAACAAGATAAGAATTACCAGTATTAAAATAAGTCATAAGAGAAGCCAGGGGCATAAAATTAGCATGAAACATAATAAAGCAGCCTAAAATGCAATTCATAAAACAGTCCTCAGGCTAGTCCTAAAGCAGCCGAGAGAGACGGAACCACCATTGTTTAAACGCTGGGGCTTCAAAAGAAAATGTTTTATCCTGGCACCTAAAAGACAGGCGGTAAAAGTACCAGGTGAACCTCATTCCCAAGGTCAGGGGCCTCCACCGTGAGGGTTGCCAGCCTCCCTCCAGGTGGTCTGGAGATCTCCTGGGACTCCAACTGATCTCCAGGCAACAGAGATCACTTCACCTGGAAAAAATGGCTGCTTTGGAAAGTGGACTCTGTGTCATTATACCCGGCTGAGGTCTCTCCTTTCCCCAAAACCCGCCCTCCCCAGGAATTTCACAGCTTAGTTGGCAACCCTGTGACACTGATTGTATGGTTAGTGCTTTAAAAGTGAGAGAGACGGGAGGAAACAAGCAGCCAGGGCAGATTTTTCTGCATAGGGGTGATCCCTCTATCTCATCTCTGACAATAGCTGGGCCACTGCATTTTGGAACAACTGGAAGTGTTCAGGCAGTTTCTGGGTGCTCGTAGGTTTTCTGGGGCCATCTGGTTGGCCCCTGGACCTCTGGTCTGACCCAGCAGGGCTTTCCTTATGTTCTTGCGCCAATGGCGTTGCTGTTGTTTTTTAACCCAACGCAAGGGAGGATGCCAAGCAGATGAGGCCCTGTGCCAGCAGCAACAACTCTGCACTCGGGCTGTGCACAGACACACGGTCAGGAACTTTGAAATGTAGACACAATTCCCACATTAGTACTGAGGTACATGTTAAAGGATCTAAGTCCACTCTGTAGACAAATCCCTCCCCAGGTGCTTCTGTGGATGCAGTGGAGCAGAGGCTATGAAGATGGGACGTGTCATGGTAACGGGGACCCCACCCTCCAGTCCCCCTGCCAGATGTTCTGCCTCCTTTCTCTTGCTCAGGCACATAGACTAGGCACAGGCAAACAAGGCCTCCTTCTGTCACAGGGGTCTTTGGGGGCAATCCTTCATTTTCTGAAGGAAATAGATGAGACAAAGGATGGTGCTCAGCTCTCAGCTAGGTCATGACGGGCATCAGCAGGCACCCATCCAAGCTGATCCCAGGGTTGCCAGCCTCCAGATGGGGCCTGGACTTCTCCCGGAATTACATCTGACCTCCAGACTACAGATATCAGTTCCCCTGGAGGGAACGGCAGCTCCCGTGGGAAGCCTGGATTTGAAGTGCACGCCTCTTCCCCCTTCCTTCCCTCAGCAACAGATTCAACAGGCAAGCTTTTCCAGCATGGAGATGCAAAGGTGGAGAGAGAATCACCTGTTGGATTTCAGCCTTTTCCTGCAGCTGCTGAAGGCCTGCCCAAGACATATGGCAGAAAAGGAAAATAAAGGGGGGGGGAGGGAGCACACCTTTGTACGTGCCGCTCCTTGAGAAGCCCTCCCCTGTACCCTACCCAGTCATCAAAACAATGGCAGTCCCACGATGCAATACCTTCTGATATCTAGCACTCTGCCTAAGCCCTGGTGCCATCAAAAGGAGAGTCAACAAAGATTATCTTTGGATGTGCGAGACTGCAGCCAGCTAATTGGATCACTCTGTCCTAACGACATTGTCATTGTCCCTCGAGGAGGCCTGACACAATAGCCTATTTACTTTCACTCAGATCTCTGGAGACAAAGGGGGGGGAGGTATCTCTGCTGGGGACAGCCCTGCTCCCTACATCCTGGGGGGGGGGGGGGGGGAGAGATGATAGCAACCCAGGGCTTTGAGGGGGGGTTGTGGGATTTAATCCCCCGTCCAACAAAGGAAGGGCCAATATTGCCAGAGCACTGAGACGGATACCTGAAATCTTGGAGAGTCCCTTCCAGTCAGCCCGCCCAAAACTGGGCTAGATGGCTGACAGGCCGCCCTAAGCCAAGTGACGCCTTTCCAAGTCGGTTGCTTTGACGAGTTTAGGACTGCACTGTCAATCAAAGCCAGTGTTATTTATTTACTCACTTATTATGTTTATACCCCACCTCTCTCTCACCCAAAGGGGCTTACGTCATTCTGCTCTCTTCTGTTTTATCTTTGTGACAGCCCTGTGAGGTAGGCTGGGTGGAGACGGCATGGCTGGCCCAAGGTCACCCGGCAAGCTTCCATGTCTGCACAACAGGAGCTCTTTGCAATTCTATTTGAAAGCTCTGGAAGGGCTGTTTGCAATGCTGAAGTCCCAAGCGTGGAATGGGTAGTATAAAAAGAGCAGTCCACTATTAAACAACCATGTCAACACACTCACATATTTAACACGCAGATCCAAGTCTATTCATAAGTTATATCATTCGTGCTCTCTGTGAAGGGGCTCACGTCTGTGAATTGGCTGTGTCACACGCCGGGGTAGCCAAGGCTGAACCAAAATGGGAATGTGACACACACTCCCGAAAAGTAGGAGGGGACCGAAGCTATACAGATAGGACCTGGGTTGATCTGCGGGGAATGCAATAGTTACAAAGATGTGATGTAAGGGTTAGAGTGTCAGACTCGGGTCTCTAGAAGATCTTGGCTCAGATCCCTACCCTGCTATGGAAACTAGCTGGGTGACCTTCGGCCACTCATTTTTCCCCAGCCTAACTTATCTCACAGGGTTGTTGCGAGGATAAAATGAGGATGGAAGAATCGAGCACGAAGCTCTTGTGTAAGTGAGCCCCAGAAGCGTTTTTGAAAAGGGGGAAAAAGCACACCACCTATTTGGCACAGAGAACCTTTGCTTCCAAATGCTGCTTTGCTGATGGGCACTGACCAGATTGCATATGACAGAGATGCAAGTTGGACTTTGACTTCCCAGATCAAAGAGCTGATTCACACATACTACATGTACGTCATTGGAACACGGACAAACATGATCATTTAATGCTTGATAAATTGCAACTAATTGTGTGAAGTAGCTCCAGTGCATGAGGCAGGATCATTGGGCTATTTCATTATTAACATTTTTATATGAAGATTCTTTCCAGAGACTTGGATCTACACTAAGCTGTCCATTTCTACCTATCCCCTTTTTGTTTCCGCTGCAGACTCTCCTTACATTGTTCTTCAGAGTCACCTAACCCCCAGAAGCAACCTTTCACTGCGTCCAGTGGGATGCAGCGGGAGGGGAGAGGCAGGAAAGGTCCATTCTGCTAATGGAAAATCTAGTCCAGAGATTCAACCCACAGCAATTAACCAGTCATTCGCCTATGCAGGCTGTCACTTGAGGGCGGCTACAGATGAGCAGAACACCCAAGCGCCAACACACTTTGCCCAACTCACACTGAGAATGATCTCAACACACAATACCTGGTGCTAGAGCAACATCCGGAACATGGTACTTACGCCTGAGAATCTCCCTCTGCTTCCGGACATACCAGGTATAGAGGGCCGCTCGCTTCTGTGTTTTCATGGGTGTGCCTTTGTTGAGGTGCTGCGAAAGGTGGGACTGATTCAGCCCAGTGACATCCACCACCTCTCTCTGAGGGATGTTGTGTTGCTGCATGTAACCCTTTATCATCTTCGCGGCCCGCCAAGGGTCCTCACTAAAGGATAAAAAGAGAGAGTTAACCTCTGCACAGCAGAAGGCGGTTATTCTAGACAGAAATTCAGAGGTGGGGAGAGAATGATACATGTTGTGGTTTGTTTGTTTTTCCCTTGAGGAAAACTATTTGCCAGTTTACCTGGTAAATTAATTTGATTTGAAGTCATAATGGATGGACATGGTGGGATTCTATCAATTATATTTTTATCCTATCCTTCATCCTCTCCCCCATTATTTCCTCACAACAACCGTATGAAGGAGGCTAGGCTGAGGAAGAGTGACTGGTGCAAGGTCACCCCATAGCAGAGTAGAGATCTGATTTCAGGTCTTCCCAGGTGGATGCCATAACTGCGACACCACTTTTGGGTCTCTGTGTTAAGCCACAGGCTTGAGGAACCCACACGAACAACCACCATGCACTCATTTTGCCTTTTAATTATTGTAATTCTTATCAGGGGTCATTTCCTGCAGGAGCGCACAGGAGCGGAGCTCCGGCAGTAAAGAGCCCAGGGGGCGGGCACATGCAACAAGCCCCATCCCCTGCTCCCAGCAGCCCTCAGTCAGAGCAAGAAGCAGCCAGGTAAGCTGCAGAGCCCTCTCCTGGCCCCCTGGTCCAAAACAGTCCAGTGGCACCTTTAAGGCCAAGGTTTATTCCGGTACAAGCTCTCCCTCCTCCGCGAGGACAGATCTGCACTCCCCCCCCCCCAATAGCTAGCAATCCAAAACAGTCCAGTTGAGCCTGAGCGGTGGGTGTTGCCTTCTGACACACTTCCGGTGATGTCAGGGGGTGTGGCATACGCAAATAGGTTATGCTAATGAGCTCCTGCACCTCTTTTTCTACAAAATGACCCCTCATCATATATAAGTATTTCACTCATTACCAGCTGAAAATCTCTTCAAATATATGAAGCAGCGAGAGACTGAAATATCCTCATCCATGTGGTTGCTGCCCTTTGTTGTGAGATAAACTTCATGTCTTCTGTTTTGAGGGAAAGATGCTCAATATTCCCCTTTCACACCATTAGGAATTGGGGTTTGGGGCTATGTGGGTACTAGCGCTGCCATCTCCATCTTGGGAAATTCCTGGAGATTTGGGGGAGGGTGGGGTTTGGAGATCCAAAGTGTACCCCCTTCCCTAAAGGCTGAAGTATTTCCACACTACCGCGAATGTAGTTGCATAAAACATCAGGAGGAAAGCCTGGAAATGTCCTCACCAACAGTCAAAACATGAAATATGAAGCTTGTTTACCTCATAACAGAGGATGAATATTACAAAGAGAAAGCTGCAGATGGAACAGAGTGATGAATGCGAGGGTTCTATTTCCTCCATTTGGATCTAGGGGAAAGGGATTATTTCATGCGGCAGCCAGGAACCTAAATTTGGGCCTGCTTGACGGACTGATGGGAACACTGAAATTAGAGTAGTTCCTGATTAGCCGCAGCCCTGAAATTTAGTATACAGGTAGTCACCAAGTCACCCCAATTACTAGAAAGCTCTAGAAAGTGGCCATATATTGCCCCACTCCCTCAGAACAGGGGGATTCAAAATGCTACCCCCTGCGATGGTTATGAACAACTGGCAGGCTACCCAGCAAGATTAAATCTAGTACAGGCACATACTTAGTCCATGACTGATGCTCAGTTGACCATAAGTCTTTAAATGACATATTTTCCCCACCTGTCAAAATCCAGAGGATGTTTACCTCATAGAAGCCAGAGCAGAATAAGCTATCTGCACTCTAAGGGAGAGGGGGCTAAAAGTGGTACAGTATTAGTTGCCTCTTCAAGCTTGGATTTGGAGGAAGGAGCAATTCTACAACAGCTGGAAACATCTGTTGGTGTACTTGAAATGCTACGAACTTCATTTACTAAGATTTTCTCTATAAAGGTGCTGGGGACTCACTTCAAAGGGTATCCAAACGGTTATTTTCACATGACCTAGAAACCTAAAATCTGGTACCCAATTTCCCCTGGAGGAAACGGCGGTGTTGAAGGTGGAGTTTATGGCATCACAGTCCCACTGAGCGCACAAATTAGAGGTCCACATTTATTTTGGTGCTAATAAGAGGAACAATTTCTTGATTTTATATATATTAGGTGTCGTTTAAAATGAATTCTCAAGGGACAATCAGAACTGAGCCCCATTAACCCACACACATTTCCCCTGTTATTAATCTATCCTTGAGCAAATAGCTCTGCAGGACTTAGACGCTTTCAAATACATCTTTAAAAACATAATAATAATTCCTCAGCAATTTCCACAGATCAGAAGGAACTCTAAGTCGGGTTGCCAGCTTCCAGGTGGCACCTGCAGATCTCCCGCTATTACAATGGATCTCCAGGCAGACAACCAAGGACGGTTCCCCGGGAGAAAATGGCTGCTTTGGCGGGTGGATTCTATGGCCTTGTACCCCACTGAGGTCCCTCCCCTCCCCAAACCCTGCCCATCCCAGGCTTTACCTGCCAAATCTCCTGACTTTAACTTCTGTCCTTTTGTCAGTTTAGAACTGCCGTGAACACTGGTCCAAAAAAGCTTCTGTCTTGATAAACCTGTAAACTTAGGCCTTTAGTGTCAGCCGTTTGGATATTGAGAGACAAGTTCTGTCCTCTCTTACTGAATGGGACAGTGCCAGTTTGTCTGCAGAGCTTTTATGCTCACCAGGTTCAGCATCCTGCCTTCCCCAGTCCTTTAAAGGAGACTTTTGAGAATTTCTCATTAGGAGAGATATTGCCATGTAGGGCCAGGGTTCCTGAATTTTTACCTTATGCCTTCCTATATTGTAGCTTTTATACTGACTTGAGGAATTCCATAGTGAGCCCCCTTTCCCCACAGACTTCAGGGTTACCCAGGTTTCATATCTTTTATCTGACTGGAGACCTTACATTACCAATCCAATTGCCAGGAATTTCCTAGCAGCTACGAGGATCGGTGGGCTGGCTGTGAATGATCACGAATAATGTTATTTCTGTTTTATTTAAGTTTATGATCACTTATCAGTGTGCTTTCTGATGTGTGTATTTGTGCTAACTGGCTATGTAGTATTTTAGACTGTTTAGTGGGTATAGCGAATGCCTAGTAAAGCTTCTGTGATTATTAAGGTTGCCAGCCTCCAGGTGATGGCTGGAGATCTCCAGGCGATGGAATTTACCTGGAGAAAATGGCTGCTTTGGGAGGTGGGCTCTGTGGCGCTGAAGTCCCTCCCCACTCTAAGCCCCTCCTCCTTCCTCAGGCCCCACCCTCAAATCTCCAGGTATCTCCCAACTCGGAGCTGGCACCCCTGGGGATGATGAACCTGTAAATTTTCTAAAGTATTATGGGACACACTGTTGTAACTGACAGACACGGCTATTTGTCTGGAAATTTTTAGAAATTAGCAGTTGTCCTTTGGGGGGGGGAGTGAAGAACACAAAGCAGCAGCCGGCACCATCTGTTTAATAGCAGGGCTGGTGCGTGCGCACTTCAGAGCATAGCAGTTCAAATTCAAATTAATTTTGTGACGGTGTTCTTCCTTCTGTATCCAGATCTCTGAGATCCAAGTCATCTGCGTCACCAAAATATTAATCCTGTCAGGAAAGGAGCTCAGTTCTGACCCGTCGGCAGGGCTTTTTTTGTAGAAAAAGCCCAGCATGAACTCATTAGCATAATAGGCCACACCCCTGACAACATATCTCATTAGCATATTAGGCCACACCCCATGTTACCAGAAGTGTGGTCATCCAGCCACACCCACCTTTTGCTTCTTATTCTGTTTGTTTTGTTGTCAAAACTCAGGGCTTTTTTGTAGCAGGAACTCCTTTGCATGTTAGGCCACACACCCCTAATGTAGCCAATCCTAATGAGTTTCTGCTTTTAGGTGTGGCCTATTATGCTAATGAGTTCCTGCTGGGCGTGGCCAACTCAGGAGCCAGCTGGAACTCTGTTCCTGTGCGTTCCTGCCCAAAAATAGCCCTGCCCGTCGGTGCAGAGTGGAAATTACCCCATGACACACAAGCTGGGCCTACAGTTTCGGTGAACTTTCATCACAAGGTTTACCTGCCTGGTTCTCCCGCCTCCCCATTAACTCCTCAGCCTTCTTCAAAACAGGAGTGGGTAAATAAGACTCAACAACATCCTCCCAAGAAATATGCAAAGAATTTATTCTCGTGGATTATAAACCCACCTCTCGGCGTAATACAATTTATTACATCTGAACGCATCTGAACGCACAAACACAAAAGGGGCTTCTGGCAGGACCTGTGTCAGGTTCAGCATAAATCTCCACACACGTTTCCAAGGAAGTGTTATGCTTTATTAGATTACAAAACTGGTACCATATCCACAGGATTATTGTTAGGAATAACCAAGGGGTGGAAACATCCCTACATATAGCAGGATGAGGCAAATGGCTAAGCAAATGAAATTCAAGCGCGCTCACGGGAATTCTCCCGGCGGGAGGATACATAATAAGTGGGAGGGTCTCAGTGCCTCATGAGAGCCGAAAGATTCACACCATCGGTGGAACGCAAGCCCTCCCCCCTTCACAAGGCCAGACAGATAATGTAGTCTGGCAGCACTGGTTCTCACGGTCTCCCTATCGCTGCTTACGGCATGTGGCAGAGCAGCGAGCAAGCCAGGATCAGAGAAGGGAACAAGCAAAACATGGCAGCTAGCCTTTCCTCCAGGATCTGGCCTGCCCTCGGTGCCTCCACCTTCCCAATCTTTCACGTGTGTTCGCAGTTCCCTGCCTCTTCCCTTCTTCCTCTGCCAACGCAGCCCTTGTTCTAGAACATCAGTCTCTCCAAATAAGGGTTGGTTCCTGAATAGCCATTCACCCGTTGAGTTTTTGCTCTGGCATGTGCAAACAGGGCATCTCAGCTCAAAACGCCACAGGAATAATTTACCTATGGAAAAGGGAATGGAGCAAGAACCCAACCTCACTATTACCTCCCAGAGGAAGAAAGGGCAGGTGGGAGGAGGAGGAAGAAGAAGAAGAGGTGGTGGTGGAAGAGGAGATTGG